TATGTATGTATGTATGTATGTATGTATATACTTATATAAGTATATATGTATAAACAAACATGCAAATGCACAGGCAAACACACAAATCACCATCGCGTTACCTTCTGTTTGAGGCTAGCAAAGACGTAGATGGCCAGAGCGTTCCCCACGATGCCCACCACAGACATGATGGACAACATGGTGATGATGATGGCCAGCTCTGTGGACGTGATGGACACACTGCTGCCCCCTGGGTCCCCGCCCTCCACCGGGTCCGGTGCCACGGACGTCGTTCTCACGACTGTAGTGTTCTCGGTTTCCATTCTACTAAGAGTTAGGTTTCGAGTCTCTTTAAGTTAGAAGAAAAAATAAATAACTCTGCGAACGTCCTTGTCGCCTGTTGAAAGTCTTCGTAGGGATTTCGTTTTGTTTTGTTTTTTTCTCCTTGATTTGTGGATAGTCTAAGGAACGCTGTTCGTGGGTAATTGTTCTACTTGTAGATGAAGTCCAAGGAACGTTGTTGATAATTTCAGTTTGCTCACCTCTTTGTTTACAATCCGAGAGATGAACTTTTCACACGATGTTTATAATATGGCAGTTGTGATCGGTGACATGCAAAGGTAAGATAGGGATCGTCGATGGGATGTTTTTTTCCCTCAAAGTGCTGCGCATTTATACGTTCTGTGAACTGGTAACCTTTGCCACCTACTCAGCTCGAGCGTCTCGTCATGTTGGCAAGAGGTTGTCGTTTCAGACGTGCAAGATGGCGTCCGGTGTAAATACTTACTTCCGGCTTGATGAGATTACATTGTGAGTTGGGTTTTTATAACTACAAGGCCATTTCGTAATTTTCGACCATTCCAGTCACCCATACCGTGAAAGTTTTGGGGAAGAAATGGATAGAAACGTTCAACGAGAAGAACTGGATACCAGTTAGGCCCGTGAAAACTGAATATACGAAAATTTGTCAGTGACAACGTTTTGAAGAAGCTCTCAAAAACCACTGTCCTTGTGAGAATTTCGATGTGAGGCGTTTATGGACCCAAAGTCAACAAAGAAATTCCGCGTGTGATATCACATGTGTCGCGGAAACACTTGCAAGACCGATGAACCTGAAAACAGAAAGAAAAAAAGGATGGCGTTACACTCTTTGAGGTTTAAAATCGTCTTAACTGGACTCCAGCCCAGAGGATAAATCCAAGGACCATACAAACTATCTACCTATTATTATCCCACATGGACATAAATCCCAACCTTCATACACAAACACACACACAAACACACAAAGCTGCACACTCATAGACACACACACACATACATACACACAGACACACCAAAATAGCTCCTCCCCCTCACACACACACACCACATACGCACATGTTCCCATATTATACACAGGTCCATATCATTTTGGAAACAAAACTTCCCAGCTGTGTTTTATGTTTCATTCAAACAACAAAACAACGTATGCAACAGTTGAGCCCAGACAGAAAAAGATACCGAATGAACTCGCCCCTAAATCCTGCACGATCAGAATACCATAGGAATATTACCCCCCCAAAAAGAGGTATAATGATGACGTCGATAGGAAGAGACTCAGCAACAATAACCAAAAAACCCAACAACCTGACACTAACAAAGCCATAGGTTTATTTCTTTTCTATCACTAATTCTGCTAATTCTCTCTTTTTGCGACATTAAATGAATAGTGTAGTATTCACACATTTTTTTTCTTCTAAAACACAAAAGCGTATTTTAATAGGGATGGGCATCGACCAAAAAGAATTATAATATACCGCAGATACTTTGTATAGCGCAGGCTACCGTACATTACAGCATTAACTTCCCCAGACGCTTTACAGTAATTAAATTACAATACTATTATGTTAATACATAACACACGCGCGTAGACGGGCAGACATACGCTTCTTTTTATTAGTGCTACCGCTAACATACTGTCAGAATACTGATCACGTACGTCTGTATCTAGCTTAACCCCATCCGTACGCCCTGGGATCATTTTGTACCCCCGGGGTTGTAATCTTCATATTTTAGAATATTTCTAGTGCGAGGATTCTCTTTGAAATTTTCAGTATTTCTCAAAAAATCATTTTGACTGACTGCTATGTAAAGCGTACGGATCGGACTAACTAGTAAATTTCCTCTTTGGAAAGTGGTGACCAAGTTCCCCACGTCGTATGGATACCATGGTAAAACACGACGTATGATAGGGTTAAACATGTTACAATATTTATTTGTGAAATAATAATTTATAATGATTATGACTTTGCGTCTGTTTGCGAGAGCGCGCGCGTGTGTGTGTATGTGTGTGTGTATGTGTGTGTAAATGTATGTATGTATGTGTGTGTGTGTGTGTGTGTGTGTGTGTGTGTGTGT